AAAAAAAAAGATTTCAATTTATGTTGGCAAATGCAATGAAGTATACTTATGACACAAATTGCATTCTAAAGACACTAAAATACAGCTACAATTTTCTAGATTCTTTGTCATCATTTTTGCCTGTTTCTACTTGGAGGGCTTGGGGGCGAAAAAGAAAACAACTTCTGTTGCTAGGAACATTTCAATAAATGAAGATAAATCTCTACCCACAAAGATGCCCCATGAACCAGTCCTCCTGCTCTCTGAAAAACCAAATTACACACAGATGTATGACTGAGTCTAAAGATGTTTGTTAAGGCTAGTCATTTCAATTCTGAATTTAGTTACAGATTCAAAAGAGAAAAAAAAAAAAAAAAGATTGGACGAATAATATAAATTCTTTCTCCCAAGGCAGCTTTGCTTTTCTGCTTTGAATTTAATCATCTGCCCAATTTGTACTTATCCTTATGCAAATTTCTGGATGTTCTAACAATCATCTGGGAAGTCTAGAACTAATAAGCAGGGGTCAGAATTTATTACTGGAAGTCTTATTGGTCACTTGTCTTAATTTCTAAAGTTACCTCTAAATAAAATCCATAGGACTATAAATTCATCCACTTTTGATGAATCTTTCAGTTTCCCTCTTGGACAATTAAATTTTAAAGGGTAATATATTTAGAAAAACACTGGAGTCTATATTAAAATAATTGGATTAATCTTTCTGAGAAGTAATCAGGTTAATTGGTCTGGAAGGCAATAAAACACAATGGTTAACTGTGGCGAGCTTTAGAGTTTGATTGGACTGGTTTCAAATCTGAGTTCTATTAATTGTGACGGCAGGTGGACTTTTTGTACTTTCAGTGATTCTTATTTCATCTTTGTGCCTTTGTTGGTCCTCTGCCCAGTGTGTAGGCTATCATGGAAACCTGCTTCTAACAAACAGTATATGGTCAAAGTAATAAGATGTCCTTAACATGTGACATCAAGATGTGACATTAACTTACCCACTACATGAGTGTTGTCACTCTTTGGCTTTGATGAAGCCATATCTGAGCTGCCATGTTGCAAACAGCCAAGTGAGAAGGAGCTAGGGTGGCCTCCAGGCAGCATCCAATGGGAACTGAGATCCTCAGACCAATAATACTTGAGGAACTGAATGCTTCCAACAATATGTAGGTGAGCTTGGAACTCAGATGAGAACCTAACCTGGCTGACACCTTGTTAACAGCTTCTTGAGAACCCAAAAGTAGACTACCTAGCTAAGCTGTGCCCTGACTTCTGACCCACAGAAACTATAAAGTTATACATGCCTATTATTTTAAGCTGCTAAAATTTGTGGCAATTTGTTTAGTAGGAACAAGTAACTAATACAATAACTATATCATCTCAGTTTGAGTTCCTTACCTGTAAAATGGAAATGTCAATACATATGTCTTAGAGTGGCTCTCAGGATCAAACAAGCTAAACATTTAATACCATAGCTGGTTCCTGTTAAGCATACTTGAAATTTTACTTTTATTTATTGATAGCATCTGTATTCACAATATATATCAATCCTTGGAGATGATTAATGTGATACAAAGGAGTTTAAGATATAGAAGCAATTGTCTTAGAAATTACATATCAGGGACCAGGTAGATGGCTCAGTGGAATAAGCACTTCCCTGGCAAGCACAAGGGCCTGACTTCAATCCTCAGTTTTGCAAAAAAAAAAAAAAAAAGAAAGAAAGAAAAAAGAAATCACATATCAGGAAAGTCTGGTATAGTTATATAAAAAAGAAGAAGCACAGGTCAGCATTTCACCTGTGATTCTTGTGCAATGGAGTTGATGGAGGCAGCAGTATATCAGTGTACCTGTATGACACAGAAAGGGACATCTCAATGGGAGGCAACTGGGAATAAGACTACTAAAATTTAAGAAACATTATGCAGGAGCCAGGGAGATGGCTCAGTGGAATAAGTGCTTCCCTGGCAAGTGAAACGGCCTGAGTTCAATCCCCAGTTCC